CTTGTGTACATTGGTTTGGCTGCCTGTAACCACAGCTCTCTCCTGGAGCCACAGGCTGTGTCTAACACTTAGCAGGGTAAACAACCCTTGCATGGCTCTCCAGAGATGCAAGGAAGGTATCCTAGAAAATGATGCTCTCTTGGAGCATGCTCTGGGGTGAATACAATGTTTTCTTAGTGTGGGGGAGAAAGAGGAAGACATGCCTGTGTTTCACACTCTAACCTTGTCAGAACTGTCATCTGTTTCTCCTGAACCTTTCTTTAAATGAAAGGAAGGTGCATGGTGTTCTGAGAGCTAAAGAAAGGTCCACCCCAGCAGTCTGAGGCTGCTGAAATATTTTAAGATACTAGGATTGTTGTCTGTCACAGCCCAGGGTTATCATTAGCTGAGCATTTGGATTCTTTTCCAAAAAGGCTGAAAGGGAAAACCCTCCAGGAACTGCAGCAGAACAAACTCCCATCCAACAACAACAGCTCCTGGCATGCAGCTACAGAGGTCTGTACCCCAGGGCAAGTGCTCCAGCAGTTTGCACTTCCATGTTTGAGTCTGTGCCTCAGCTACAGCTGACCAAATAACTTCATTGTCGAGGGAGAGGCTGCAGAGACTAACCAAGAAACCCATCAGCTGGCAGTTCTGTTCTCAGATTAACATGAAGCTAGCAGGAAAACATAGATCTGAACATAACCCAGGCAGAATGTCAGTGGAATCCATGCAGCATTTTCTACGTGAACTTCTGAAGTGAGACGTGCCTGCTTGAGGAATTGCTGAGGGAATTGTGTTCTAGACAAGCCCATGAAACATCTCTACCTCTACCTCTGAAACCTGTCACAGAGTAATAAATTAAACTGAGAGGGCTGAAGGCAGTCTCCCTGCCCTCTGCCAGCTATAGAACCAGCTATGGTTCCTCCCCTGTAGGAAGAGCAGATAAATCACACCCACATTTGCTCCTGAACCATTGGAATTTACAGCCTGGCAGGGCTTTAAGTGCAAGGAGCTGTGAGCCAGCCCAGCTCTGGGACTGGGAGCTCTGGAGTGCAGAGGCAGGTTCTCTGTAGCTGTCTCTGCTGCCTCTGCTTCAGAAGTTTGTGCAGTAGGACTGTAACTTACTCATCCTGATTTAAATTGCTGTCATGTCACACTTCAACACTACCAGTTGATACTTGGCAGTCAGTCTGACTTACAGTGTGGCTGGATTGCACTTCCTCACTCATATACTGTGTGGAGAAACTGCAAAGTGCTGAGGCTCTGCTCAAAGATGGATGCAGCAAGAATGATCAGGGTAAGAGGGAGGCTGAAGTGAGAACCCAGTTTCATTCCAAGGAGAATGAAAACTTCTCATGTATCCTGTGTTGAGATTTATAAATGTTTCTGTTTCTCTGGCACACTGGCCTCCGGGGGAAAAGGCTTCTCAATTAAATTAAGCCCAAAAAATGTGGAGGTAACAGAAGACACATTAGTCTGGATGTCTGCCTCTTGTTTGTTCATCCTGGTGTTTGGATGGGCACAGCACCAATTGGCTGTTCCCTTATAGAATGATTATATAATCCAACATCTGGCTCCTTTCTGAGTGTCAATACCTGCTTAGGTCCAAGTCAGAGATTCCTAAGTGCAAATTCCAAGGAAAATGATTCTGTGCCTTATAGGTAGCTAAATGGAGTGTCTTGGGGAATTGCTGTCTGTGGGGATGACAGGTTTTGTCACTTACTCCTACTGTGTCCTTGTACAACTCACCACTCAAAATAGCAGCATGTCACCAGGCCTGCTCAGCTGGCTGTGAAGTGCTGGACTGAGGGTAGAGGTGCTCTGGGAAGGGAACAGCTGACTTCCTCCTCTGGGGAATGCATGCAGGACATGTGGTGATATTAGCCCTGTAATTGAAGCCATCCATTCCCTGGTCTCCCAGGCTAAGATTTTCCAAGCAACCTCAGCAGCTTCAAGGAATTGTTTTGTATTTTACAAAACCCATCTTCACATTAGCTACTGCTTGAATTGTGAGGAGGAAAAATCCTTGATTTGTATATGAATTCCCTGGAGTGCTGAGAAGGCTCCAATACCTGCAGAGGGATCCACTCCAGCAGAAAGGCAGCTCTAGCAGAAAGCTGACAGAGCATGGGAGTTGCCAGACACCCAGACCTGGATGGCCTGGGGCAGCTGTAGGCAGCAGCTGCTGCTCCCTGGGAGCTGGGGGAACACCTGCCCGGGGTGCTTGGAGCTGTGTGGTGAATTGGACTCTGTAAGCAGGCCCTCGCTGTGCCTGTCAGGGTACAGTGTATTTATCCAAGCTGCAAACTCATTTCATCACCTCCCCTGCCAGGGCAAGAGGTAGAGGGATTAGCTTGAACTCTGATCATATAATAACAACATGGCAGCTGTAGGCAGCTAATAATCCACTGGGAGGATTAGCAAACTTAAAGTTGTCTAGCTCTGCATAATGGAAAGCTAAGAACAGCAGCTTCCCTGTTCTACCTTCTGCATTTGCATTCTCTCCAGTGGAAGCATAGAACATGATGAGACAAGGCTTTCCAGTCTGTTATGAAATGGGATCTAATGTGTGACTAATGGAGCATTGCTAGCAATTCTACAAGCATCCATTCAGCTCAGAATATGGATTTAAGTTTTACTAAGAGACTGCACTTCAAATACCTACTGCTCGAGAGCAGGTCACGATTTCAGCAGGCTAATGCTAAAACTTATTTGAGGCTCTCCAGGAGTAATGTCCTGAAGACTGCTCTGCTTATGCATGGAGAATCCCACTGATCCAGAATCCCTGCTATAATTCATGTGTAACTGATAAAAGAGCCCAGTACAAAACACAGAACGTGCCAAGGAGCAGACTGGTCACCTGGTGTTACTGCTTTCCTTCTGACCCTCTCAGGACACCTGGAGGCCTCAGCAGCTGAAGTCTTTCCCTCCAAGGCAGTTTTGGTGCTTGTATCAATTTACTGATGAGTAACCAGCTCTGACACAGCCTGGAAAAGAGAGCTGTGACTCCTCATCCTCCTCCCTGCTCGCTCTAGTGAGTAAGAGCCCTCCTGAGCTGTGGGATGGCTCCCACCTCCTCCCAGGGCACAGAACACAGGGAGTAGCACAGGCAATGCTGGGCTGGGGCTTGTACTGCACGACTTTTCTCTTCTGCTCCAGTGGAGAATTCCAGTGCAACACTGGAGTGCACAAAGGATGAAAGCTTCACCATGCCATGCCCCTGCCAACACTTGGCAGGGCTGTGGGACCTCACTCACTCTTGCACTGCAAACAGGCACGACTACTCACAATAACACAGGAGCAAAATACTCATTTCCTCCAGGAGCTTCTTCCACTGTTTCCTCCCAGTTGTAACTGGTGCTGCTGAGAGTCCATGGGAAAAAACTCTAGTACAGACAAGGCCTCTGCATGCAAATGAATGCTACATAAATAACCCCAATCTCCCCTCAGTTCCTAGGTTGGGTACTCTGTGCACTAGAATTCTCTTCAAAGACCTCCCAGTTCATTCTTTATGCTCTAATTAAGGATCAGTGCCAATTAACTATCTTCAATAGAGGAGCATCTTCCGCTCAGCAGCCAGGAAGTGTCTGAATAAGATCCTGCTGTACAATGTGCACATGAAAAGGGAAGCCCTCCCTTTTTGGAATGGGTTTCCAAGATTAAAAACTCAGTATAGATTACTGGATGCCTACTTTAAAAATCCTGTGTGACAAGATTAAGTGACAGCACCCAGGAATGCAGAATTGGTTTTTTACATGTTTCTGGTGATACTCAAGCATGCTATTGCACTCTGGGCTAGGTACCACTGTGGCAATAGCAGGTGTGAAAACAGAACGTGACACTTTATTTTAAGTGATATTAAAATACTGTTTGCTTTTTCTTACAAGGGTGTCATAGATCAGCAGAAGTGCAGCATCAAATCTGATGATAAATATTGATTCAGATGAAAAATTGCCAATAATAATGCCAGCACCTAAACTGCCCTGGTAGTCCTCACCTACTGCCTTTACTTCCCACAGATATTCACCTGTTCCATAAATAACCAAGCAATTTAGACTGCTGCTGCACTGTGTTTTGAGCAAGAGCTGTGCTAATAGTCTGAGCAGGCAAAGGGAGGGGAATGTCATTTCTAAGCTTGGCTGGAGATGAATACATCAGCTCCCCAGCCAGTTACAGGCTATGTTTAAAAAGCACTATTCTAAAGGAAAATTAGATGGTTAAACACTGTGGGGGAAGGGGGGAAATAGGATAATCCCTTCAAAGCTTTAAATGGAAGATTCTCAAACTTGCTTCAGCTGATGTGAGACATATGAACAGCCTCAGAATTAAGACCCCTGCAAAACTTCAGCCAGACACAACAGCTGCACTGCCTTTTGGGGGAGATGCACTTGAACTGGTTATACACGAAGCAGATGTAAGCCACCCAACCCTGCTAATCACAGCTAAATCTGGGGACCATTCACAGGCTGCTCTGCAGAATAAAGGGGCAGAGCAGGAAGAGAGCAGGCTTGGTGATGAGAAACAGGAACTGTAAAACTGTATTGGAGCGTGGGGAAAGCAGCAAATTATTCGAGGAGCAGCAGAATCCACAAAGTCTAGTCAGATGGGATTTACATCAATCACACCTGTCAGGGTACTGATATTTCAATATATAACACAGTACATTTGGAACTGTCAATGTACTCAAGTGCTTTTGTGGAGTACATTGTGTCCAGCTTATTCTTCACACACAAAAAATTCCAAACAGGCTAAATAAATCTCTCAGGTTCAAGGAGAAGCCCCATGGCTGCTCAGCACAGGAGAGGGAGTTACATCTGAGTTTTGTTGACTGATCCCTTTGCAAAGAGCACAGGATGGGCCTCTGCTAAGATGCCTTGGGAATTTCTGGAGAAGCTTGTTGCAAACCTGATTGGGCTGAGATTTGAGCTCCAGATAGGAAAGGCTGGAGGGAATGTGGAACAGTCACTCTGGGGAATGTAACCTTTAACTCTGTGTGGGCTCAGCTCTTCTAAACTTACCCGAATCCTTCTCATGGCTGCCACAATCTCCACACGGCTGTTGGGCCTGGGGACATCCAAGCTCCCGATGTACTGAAAGACACAACAGTGAGACGTCTGTGCACAAGTTCATGCTGTGGGCTTCTTCACAACAGACGGTATTTCTCATTTATTTAGTCCTTCCTTGCATGGACTCCTTTGACCCAGGCCAGGATAGGAATATCTGTTGTAGATAACATTATCAAGTTGGGGATCTCTGAGGTCAGGTGCGAGGCTCTGACCTCATTCAGGTTCTGGATGTGCCTTTACCAGTGCTTTGTAGGGCAACGTCTGCTGCTAATTGAGTCATGATCCCGTGTGTCTGAAAATGGGACCGTCTATCCTTTGTTCCTCCTTACTAGACTGGCTCAAAACTAAAAGCACATAAGAGCTGTAAAGCTGCCAGGATGTGCAACAAGCACCTTTCCTGGAAAAGCCTTGTGATTCTAGTTTTCAGTCTGGACCACCCTACCTCTGGATGCTGCTGTCCCTGCTTGGTTGGACCAGTTCAGCTGTCTGCAGAATCCTGGTAAACCCCCCCAAATCTGTGTCCTACAATCCTGCTTAGGGGAGCTGCAGTCCTAACTATAGTGCTTGGGGGTGAGTGTCTGCATTCCAGTGCTTGTACCAGTCCTAGCAGGGTCTCTTAGTGGGACTGAGACATGGCAGGCTCCCATCACCCCCACCCCTACACCAGTTACAGCCTCTTTGAGCTGCTTGCCTGTTCTCCTGAACAGAATGGCAGCACACTGCCCACACTCCACAGGTTAGCATGGAACACCTGCAGGCAGCTTCCTGCTGCCGGCACTGCTCCCTCCTGTGCTGCCCGAGCAGAACCTGCTCGTGCACCTGTTGGCAGGAGGTGGCACCGGTGACAGCACACGTGGCACGGTCACAGGAGTGCCCCACGCTGCCGAGGGGAGGAGGCACAGAGCTGCCAGCTCAGCCTGGAGAATGAGGAAACCGCGGTGTCCTGGACAGTCACAGCGTGGGGAGCAAAGGCTGCTGACGCTGTGGTGTGGCTCAGCTCTGAGGGAATACCTGCACGCCCAGGGCATGTTGGGGAGGACAGGGAGAATGTCACTGAGTGAGAGGGTGATGACAGCATGTGCTGGGAGTGGCCCTGGCAGCTGAGGGCAGGTGCTGGATTTGGTGCTGGTGGGGGCCCAGTGGGGTCCATCAGCTCCCCCAGGGTAACACAGCCCATCTCTGCTGTTACTGGTGGGGACTGAGGGCACTTCACAGAGATTAGTGACCCTCCCAGGAGCATTTAGTTCATGAAGTGTCTGGTTTTTAGTGTGTGGTTACAAGTTGTTGATTTTTTGGAAGTTGTTCCCTTGTGAAGAGGAAAAGGAGCAGCTAATCAGGAGGTCCCTGCAAACATTCAGGGTTATATTATATATATGAACAGAGACAAAATAATTCCCTGGAACAGCCCCATAGGTATTGTGGTTACTGACATAGTTCTGGATTTATTTCTCCACTGTACTACTTGCAGATTGCAATGGGTTTTATCTTGTAAAATGTCTGCTTAAAAGGGCTTTCAGAGATGAGCTGTCCTGGCTCAGTATTTACTGCTCTTTCTCCTGCCTTGAAATAAACACCTCAAGCAATCTGAAAGGTCATCTGGCTTTGCTGCTGCTCCTCTAAATGCCTGTGCAAAATGGCATTTTTAAGAGCAGTTAAGTTCATCTGTAGCCTTTGGTAAATCACAGGAGAACCAAGCTCAGAGCACCAGAGCTTGAGGGCAGCAGGGAATGGAGCAGCAGAGCCAGGGCTTCCCTCTGGGCTGGTGGGGAGGGCAGAGCTGTGTTGCTGTGATCTGCGGTGTGCAGAGCTCCTTCCCTGCTCTGCTGGACATCAGGACAGTCACTGGAAATCCAGATGAGCTCCTTGCAGCTGGCTGGCCTTTTGTCTGTCAGCAGCAGAGCTGCAGTGGGGAACAGGACATGCTCCTAATGACAAATTAATTGGGGCAAGAGGACAGCTGGGACTGCTGAGCTAGAGGAGATTCTTTCAAACTCCCTGCTCTGGTCTGGCTGCAGAGTTTGGATACCTGTGCTCCACACAGAGCCATGAAACTCATGAAACAGCACACCAAGCTCTGCCCAAACAAGCAGCTCCCTCCTGAAGATTATAGGGGAAGGAAGGCAGTTTGGAATGTGGAGATTAGAGAGGGAGTGTGGTCAGTAAGATTGCCTGGTGCGAGACACCTGCAGCCAGCTGCAGCCTTGTCATTGTCAGCGTGGCAGCTGACTGATGTGCCCACAATGAGCAGCATAATTGGAAGAGACAGACTGTAAAGCAGAACTGAGCAAGCATGTTACTAAGGTAATGCAAACCCCATCCCAGAGCCACACACCCTAACAGGGTGTTATCCACTCGCTAGCTCTGGATGCCTGGAGCTGTCAATCTGAAAAGCCAGTTTCACTCAGTTAAAGGTACAGTTGCTTCCCATCTTTTAAAAATCAAATTAAGGATTCCTCTTCTCCTCAGCACAGTCTGCAGCACAGCAAATGTTAATTTAAATAGAGAAATCACAGATTAAATGTTTTCGTCCCTAAGGAAGATAAATTTTTAAAATACATGATTAGCTGTCTATTCAGATTCATCCTGTATCCTGCTTAAATCTTACAGCTCTTTCAGCAGGAAAACCAAGAGGCACAAAATCCATATTTCAAAGCTTTATTGGAATGTATATGCCCCTTCTTTCCAGCTCAGGAGACAGCAGGCGTGAATTCCATTTCTAATCTGTGTTAGGCCACCTGCAAAGAGGGGAAGGGAGCCTGTGAGTTGCTCCAGAAAAATGCAATTCTTCTTGTCAGCTGAATTACAAACCCATTCCCCATGCTGTCTACAGAATGCCAATTCCAATGGAGTCACTTTCTGAGAGTGCTGCTGTGCTGCCAGGCTGTTCTTCACAATCAATACGGAATTTCTGACAATATCAGTATTCCTTTCTGATGCCTGAAGGCTGCAGACCTTGTCTGTCCAGCTTTCCATGCAGGGAAGGGGTCAGCTGGAGTAAGGCACTATTATTTGAGCAGCACATAGGAATCTGCTGGTTTCCAGGGGAATAGCGAGCTGTCACCCTGGCACAGCAGGACAGGACAGGCACTGGATCAGGCAGGGATGAGCACCTGGGACAGCATCCACGCTGCTGTCAAGAGGGGTCATTCCAGAGCAGCTCCCAAATGAAGCACACAAGGCAGAGTCTAAGGATTACACAGCTGCAAAAATACTAGGAAAAGAGCAAGAACCTGTTTGATTGTGCTAATTAAATGTAAGGCTTTCATAATTGACTGCTGTTTTCTTTAGACTCCCTCAGCGTGGCCCAGGGGCACTTGCAGAGCTGAAGAATAACCCTGGAAGGGCACGGCGAGCCCGGCCTCGAGCCAGCGGGCCCGCGGCCAGTGGGTGCCACGCCGGCGGCTGCTGGACAGCACCGGAGCCCAGCCCGCAGAGACCCCCAGCCAAGGCGGGGAAAGGAACCTGCCGGGGGGTTTTGGCTGCCAAGGGCCCCCTCCCGCGGGGCTGCGACGGGCGGGGGGGGGGCCCAGGGGCCGCGGAGGGAGCGCGCCCGGGGCTCACCTTGGCCTGGAAGTGGATGCCGTGCTGAAAGGCCTCCTCGTTGTGCAGCGGGACGCGGGAGTCGCAGCCATCGTCCACCAGGTTGTACCGGTTCTTCACCGGCATGGCGGCGGGCGGGCGGCCGCCTCAGCCCGCGGCCCCGCCGGGCATCGCGGCCGGCAGCGCCCGCCCCGCCGAGCCCCGGGCGCCGTGCGGGGCTGCGGGCACCCGAGCCCGGCCGCGTTTTGAATGAGCGTCCGCGGGAGCGAGCGGGGCCCCGGCCCCGGCGCGGCGCCATTGGCCCGAAGTTCCCTCATGTGATGCGGGGGGCGGTGGGAGCCGCCCGGCCCGGCCCGGCCCTGCCCGGCCGCCCCGCCCCGGCCCCGCCGCGGAGCCGCCGGCTGGAGCGGCTGGAGCGGACGCGGGGATGGTGAGGGCTCTGCGGCAGCTCGGTTATTGTGCCACGCTGCGGGAGCTGGGCCTGCTTAGTCTGGAGCAGACGGAGAGGGGATCTCATCAAATATCTCCAAGCGCTGTCCTGAATGACTGCTCACCTACATGATGTGTGTTTCGTGTCAATGTGACTTACAGCTCTGTTAGAAAATAGCACATCCCCTCTCAGAATCCTGACGCGCAGTCGGTCCCCACTGTGCCAATATTCTCTCAGGAATTGCGGCACCCCATTTTGCTCACGGTATGCTTTCCTTCCAGCTGTGTCTCGGTGGCGAGGCACTGCCGGGCCCAGGTGAGCGCACCTGGATGCCACTCTGGCACACCTGAGCATGGCATTCCTCAGCGGGCACCAGCACAGGTAAGGGATGAGATGTGCACAGCTGTGATTGCAAGGACCAAGGTTTGTCTTCTGACTGTTAGTACAACCACGCTCCATTTACAGAGATGATCAGAAATGTGAGTTGTGTAGAATCCAAAGGGTGGAGCAATGTGCACCAATGGATCTCATCTGGGTTGCCCCAAATTAATTTTTGAGTCATAAAAGTAGCTCCTAGCCAGGTGTTTGAATGTGTTTGGACACCACCTTTTATGTGGCTTTTGCATTAGCAAGAAAGAAAAGTTTGACCACAGGCAGACAGTGCACAGTTCCCAGTCTCCATCTCAGCAGCGTGATCACCCTGAGCTTCTTGGCATTTCTGAGTACTTGTAAGGCAGTGGGAGATGGGCAAGAGCCAAGAATCCAGAAACCTATAATTAAGAAAGGGAGAAAAAGCCCAAGGAATTAATATTGGTTCACAGACTATGACCCTACATGTTCAAATATTTTGAGGTATTAGCAGCTCTTTCTGGGGAGGGTTCTGTGGTCAGCCTTCTGTCTTTGTGAAGATTTTCCTATTTCCAGACAGTCTTCTTTACTTCTAATCTATAGAACTACATTACCTCCTCATTTAAATATTCACAAGTTTATGCTAATCCCATTTCTGTACAGCATAATTCAGTATGGGTTTTGTCAGTTGGTTTCTGTCCAAGATGCTCCTCTAGATACACATCTTGCCTGCAGATGCATTGGTTTAGTTCTTCATTGGTGATTTTTTATGTGGTCTTTGCTGATGTTTAGTGTGTATTTAGAACATTTCATGGCACTTTTCTTCTCTTGTACGTATCTCGATCAAAAAAGTATTTGTTGACCTGAATGAATAACCTAGATTTTGTGTGCAAATGTCCTTGGACTGATTGAGCAACATTCAGGTCTTTGGTTCTGCTAAGCCCAAGGAGGAGGAGATGCCACCCAGTCAGCCTATGCTCCTGCTTCCTTTGATGCTAACGCCAGCAAAGCTCAACTCATATGGGGAAAAACCTAACACAGCCACTACTGGTGAGTGTCTACATTGATTCTGCAATACTGCATTTCAGCTGAGGCGTGCAGGAACCTGTCGTCGTGCTGAGCTGCTCAAAGCTTCTCCTCATTACCCTCCCATTGCCACAAGAGCATTCCTATATACGTGGGAGCATATGGACTTCACTTGGGATAAATTTTTAAATCTGATAGAAAGAACAGGATGAAATAACAAGAATGGTCTTTTAAATTCCATTCTGTTGCTCTCCAGTATCCCGCAGATTATAAAATCCTTTGGATAGGAGGAAAGAAATATCTCATGGGAATCCTGAGAAAAAGAAAGCAACTGTTATTTAATAAAGCTTGCAGTGCCAGTTTCTGTTAGATCACAATTGAATGGAGGTGTTTAATACTCCCTGTTCATGAACTTCTGTGAACTTTTCATGGGGCTTAAATCTCCTGAGGTTAATGGCTTGGATCTGAGTTCAAGAATTGAGTTGGAAAGCTGCTAAACTTAAAAAGCTGTTAATTTTCTAGTTTGTTTGTTGGGCAAAGAAAATTCTTTGACTCCACTGGAAGTAAGAAAGCTGTATGCCTTTTCTTCTGGACAATAAAACTGGGCAAATATGTGGAATGAAGCTTTTACACAGGACATCGTCACGGATTTAGTATAAACAAACCCTGGGTAGCATTGAACAGTTGGCCAAACCTCATGGTGGGTGTTTGCATCACATGGAGGTACTGAGTGAGTTATTCCTTTGATGTGCAAAGCACTCACAGAAAGTCCCGATTCTCTGAACACAGTAGGAGTGAAGCCCCAAGACAGCTTCTTGGCTCAGAGCTGCAAGTGTTTTTGCAGGTTTGTATCAGCTCTCTTTCTTGGGCACAGGCTCTTAAGATTTCCTTCTTTCTCTTACATGGGTGCACATTTCTGCCTGCCCCAGGACTCTGCATGGAAGTCCCTCTTCTTACATAGCTTCATCTTTTGTAGAGACCTTGAATGTGGTGTAAATTGGGTGGTGGGTGTTACGTGCAGCGTGTTCTTTAATCAGTGCCTTGGTTGGTTTTTAGGGAAGGGAGCTTTTGCTCCTGTCTGATTCTGTCAGATTTTTCCAAATCCACCTTCACAGATAAAGGAGGAGTCCTGGTCTTGATGCCATGGAATTTTCCTCCTTTCTGCTCACCCTTTTAAGCACTTATTTCTGCACAGCAGAGTTGCAGAGATTTTGAATGTTAAATAAGATGTAACATAGGAAGAGCAACCAGACAGCCAGACAAAACCTCTGTTACAGGAGAACACTTCCATATCACACATAAGAACTGAGAGGTCTGTGCATGCTTACTGTCCTAGGAGATCTGGGTTTGTCATGCCACTTTATCAACATTATTAATATTTACTTGTGCTGGTGCAATTTTTAGAGCGAAGCCTCCAGTGTACTAACACACCAGGAGACTTTGTAGAAATGCTGCTGTGGGATGAAATGTGGGGGCAAGAACAGCTAAACCAGCTGCTGTTGACTAAATTGTATGATGTTACCCCTGATGCACTCGGGATTTCAAGAATACAGAACTCCTGAACAAAATCTTTGAGTGTCTTGAGCTGCCACACGAGGTGAACTCAGAGGTGACATGTGGAACTGAGCTTTCAGAGTGTCATACGTGTCCTCTGCGAGCACAGGGGCTGCTTGGTGAGATGATTACCCCAGATTTGTGTTGCTCAAGAAGAAACAGAAGCTCAATGTCTCGGCGGTTGAGCTCCGCGGCGCGGCCAGGCAATCTGCCCGTCAGGACTGCAGACCTCTTTCATGCATGGCCAGCTCCAAAGGGCTGTGCAGCAGGACTTGGCAATGAAAAATGTCATCTACAATTATGCATATTTTCATCATCTTCTATCATGCAAATCCCCCCACCCCAAATATGCAGCAAATGTTTTGTTTGCATATATAGGTCAACCACAAATCTTCTGTGGTCGAACATAAACATGGGCAGCACGGAGTGATGTATATGGATTTAAATCCAGGCTGAAGCATAACTCCACCACGGACGTTTTCCAAGTGGAGTCTGTTTGCTAGATTTGTTTTCTTTTGACTTTTCATTTTATAGAGAATTGCTTTCTCATGGACTTGTGAAAGAAAAACTGACAGGAGATACTCACCATCGTTGCAAAAGGAACTATTGACTTCAGACACAGATGGATAGTTCTTCATGAATAACTTTTATTTTTTTAACAATAACTTAACTTAAGGAATGTGTTCTTTTTCAAAAGGGTACACTGAAGTATTTCTGCAAATTTGCTGCCAGCAGGAGGCCAGTTTCATATGATATTTTAAAAACATGGTACGTTCCTTTTGCAAATTACATGCTACTTTGTTCTTCTTGTCTTGGCTGTCTTTAAAAAAGAAAAGTATAGAAAAGAGTACAGTTACTGCCCTTATGATGCTACATAAAAGCTAAAAATGTTGATCCCAACTTGGAAACAAAAATGCTTACTAGAAGAAGGAAAATATATTTGTAAAGAAAAATGTTACTTGTTAGTTAACCTCATAAGCTTGACATGTTCACATGGCCAACTCATGAATTCCAAATACCACAAGTTAGCAGTAGAGTCCCTCAGTGTGAGCTGCTGGGATCAGCACAGTGTCATGATGGAAAACTCTTCAGTTTGCTGCATCTGTAAAACTGCTTTATTCTCAGATTCCTCCTTGCATCTGGCACTTACCTGTGCACACACAGACATTAGGTAAGTGATGATTTCGGGTAAATGAGAGTGAAGTTGTTAGTCTGAGAGATGAGTAAAATGAGTAAAATCAAACAGGATCCTTCCCCACTCCCATAAAAGTAGGCCAGTACCTCTGTTGTCTTTGATATCCTGAATTTAATTAATGAGAGCATAGGGACATGACAGTTCTCCTGGATGGAATCCACATTCTTGTTCACTTATTATCACAAGATAGTAACAGTCTGTTTTTATCAACAACTCCCTCTGAGCAAGGGTCTCGGAAACAGCCTTGTGTTTAAGAGCACCTCGTAACTAAATTTCCCCTCTCCTCACAGGGGACAGATGATCTCAAGTTTCCCATTTCTCTCCTGCTGCTAGATCCAGCTTGCTGTATTCAGCAGGAAATGCTCTCCTCCTGCATTACCCTGTGCCTCATTACTGCCCAACCTATACTTTACTCCCCACCTTGCTGTACCTGAATGCCACGTGCAGTCTGACCCCACGCTGCACACTGCATCTCTATTTATCCCAACAGGAAATGAAGGTTTTACCCACACAACACAGGCAAACCAGGTACTGCATCTATTACAGCTTCTCTGGTGGAGGAACAACTAGTCTGTTATTAGCCTGTAAGAAATGTGGATATATGATAATTAGATATAAAAATATTTCCCCTTTGCAATAATTTTGTTTGGTATTTCCCATGCTCAAATGCCTTTTAATGCTTTGGCCCATCTTAACTCTTTCTTTGGCTTTCTTTCAGCACTGCTGACATTGGTGAGGATAGATCTCTGTGTTAAAAATATTCATCTGAGAGCCTGGCAGTAAAATAAGACAGAGTCAGGTCACCACTTTAAATCATACTCCAACATCTCTGAATTGCTTTTCTTACAACTGAATTTTTATGCTGATGTTGAACATAAGAAAAATACTAATTTTTCTTCCCTGGAAGAGGTTTGGAATGAGATAATCTTTTAGGTCCCTCCCAACCCAAACCTTTCTGTGATCTGGTGATGGTGGTGAAGCCAAGGATGTGCCTGCAGTGATGGGCATGGAAAAGACACCACCAGACAGCTCATCCTGCCAACATTACCAGCCCCTCTGAGCTCCTGCTGGAACATGGAAACGCTCCCAGGTTTTTAATTAAACACTGTCACAGCTATAAAAATATAATGTACATCTTTTAATAGCAACATGAGAGTATCCAAGAGTGAAGATACCTGACCTCAGCCTTCCTGGTCACTTCACGTTGCAAGACACAACTTTATTTAATAAAATAATTCGTTTCTTCGTGTCTTGCAAGGGTAAATGATGGAATTCTGGTGAGGCACTGAAAAAATAAGGGTCTTGACAAAACCTTATTATTTTATCTTGTAGGTAACTGGCAGTGCCAACTTCTTCTCCATTTATTTAAATTTTGCTGTAGTTTAAATAATTTCTGCTGATACCCTGTTTCAGTCCTGTTCCAGATCACGACTCTGTTGATCGCTCCTTCACACAGAACCCTGATTATTCCTGTTTTTTTCCCCCCAAGTCCCGGCTCTCAGCCCGAATTCCTGCATTTCTCCCGAATTCCTGCATCCAGGCCGGATTTCCCAGGGCGCAGCGCCACCGCCTGCCCACAGCCCTGCGCTCCCCCAGTCCCATAAATCTGCCTTTTGCTCCAACAGCCGCTTTCCTGACATGTTCTCGACTTCATCGCCTCATAACTATATCGTGAGGGATTAATGTATCACAGAGTCAGGGCTCTGGAATGGTTTGGGTGGGAAGGGACATTAAAGATGATATAATTCCAATCCCCTGGCATAGACAGGGAACCTTCCAGCTTGCTCGGGTTGATCACGGAGCTGCTGTTAAGGTTATTCATTCCATTACTGACAGTATAAAAACCGTTTTCGTATTTTCTTGCTGTGCCCGAGAGTGTTTAAAATCCGCAGATGGGGCTCTCCCAGCATGAATGCAGCTGAACCTGAACGGTCCGGGGGAGCCCCCTTTGTGAGAGGCAGCGCTTTGTAACAGCGGCGAGAGCCCCGTCTCGCACGGAAACCTCTCCGGCGCACGGTAACGAGCGGATCGAGTGTAGGAGCGGATCGAGTGTCTGGGCCACCCGGGCGGTTCGGTTTGAAGGGCACGGCGGGTACCGGGCCCGCCCCTCAGCCCGGCCTGAGGCGGGGCCGCCATGGCGGGGCGAGGCCTCGCCCGTTTCCAACATGGCGGCCCCGCCCCGTCCGGAGGCCATTTCGGACCGCGCGGGGCGGGGCCTCTGCCCGATCCCAAAATGGCGGAGGCGGCGTCAGCGCCTCACGGCGGCGGGGCGGGGCCAGCGGGTTACCGGCCGCGCCGCTGCCATGGCAACGGGCGGGGAGCGGGGGAGGGATGGAGCCGGCCGGGCTGGAAACGGCCGGGCTGGGGACAGGGACAGAGGGAATAGAACCGGCGGGGACAGGGACGGGGACACAGGGGATAGAACCGGCGGGGACAGGGACGGGGATACAGGGGATCGAACCGGCGGGGATGGGGACGGAGGTAGTGGAGCCGGCCGGGCTGGAACCGGCCGGGCTGGAGACGGCGGTAGTGGAGCCGGCCGGGCTGGGGACGGGGACAGAGGGGATAGAACCGGCGGGAACTGGGACAGAGGAGATAGAGCCGGCCGGGCTGGAACCGGTCGCGCTGGGGACGGCGGGGATAGAACCGGCGGGGATGGGGATGGCGGGGATAGAACCGGCGGGGATGGGGACGGCGGGGATAGAACCGGCGCGGATGGGGACGGCGGGGATAGAACCGGCGCAGATGGAGCCGGCCGGGCTGGAACCGGCACAGATGGAACAGGCCCGCGAGGCGGAGGAGCCCCCGGGGTCCCCGGCCCTGCCCACTGAGGCCTCGCAGGACGGCCCGCCAGCCGCGGCGCCCCCGGGGCAAGGGGCGCTGCCCGCCGCTCCCGACCGGGAACGGGAGCGGGTCCGGCGCAGGGCCGGAGCGCAGGGCTCGGCCGGGCGGGCGGCACGGGGCAGGGCCCGGCGGGCCCCGGGCCGCCGCAGCGGGGGCGAGAACGATCGGCGGCCCGAGGTCACGGTGGACTCCTCCAAGGCTAAGACCTCTCTGGAGGCCCTGAAAATCAGCCTGCGGCAGCTCCGCTGGAAGGAGGTGAGCGCTCGCCAGTGAGACCCTGCGGGGCCGCGTCCCCATCCCTGCTCTGGCCTAGCCCCGGTCCTGCCCAGACTCCTCTCCCGAGCCTCGGGTCTGCCCCGGGCAAAGCCTTCCTCCACTCTCCTCCTCCTCCTCCCGTGCCTCTCTGAGGGCTGCTGCGGCCGGGGGGGCTCCCGGCTGTGCCCCCCGACCCTGGGGCCATTTCTGACCAGATGCCGGGGCCGGAGCTGGTTTGATTCATGATCACGATACTGCCACGGCCGATTATGCAAGCCAGAACAGGGGTAATCGGGTATTGCGCTTCCGAGGTTAAACCGATCGGGGAAAGGGCAAGAAAGAAACCTGCTCCCGTGGGGGAGCGTTTGACGTGCTCTGTAGATTTGCATTTCTTCCCTCCCACCCTTCCCTCAGGGCCTGGCTCGGGACAGAGGACGGGAAGGTCTGGCCCGGCTTTTCTCCAAGGCACGGTGTATGAATGCAGTAGTATTAAACCAGCTGATAACGCACACATAACGGGATTTAGCCTGCTAATTTATTTTATGTAGAACAGCTATAGCTATTTTTTCTCCTGCTGCTCGAGTCATGTGTTTTCTCATTGCTTTGTGAGGATTTCAGTGAGTGCCAGTACGTGCTGAACTGGAATCAGGACAATAGAGGAGCTGGCACAGAACTGATGCTTTGCAACTCCTTATTTAAATCCTGGAGAGATTTCTTAGATATATCTTACTATAGATATTGTTCTTCAATTGCTCTCCAATTGTACAGATTTTTTCCCCAACAGCTTTATAAATGTCTTTATGGAAGGTGAGATAGCTTCTAGGAGCTTTGTGAGGAACTTGTGTAAGAAAACGGGGACTTGTAATCCATTTGTAAGAGGGAATTTGGAGGGAAAAGGAGGAATAAAACCTAGAGATTAATTGTTTCTCATGTGCAGAGCTAGGACAGTTGTGTGATCTCTGACCTGCAGCTACTCCACTTTGCAAAGCTGCTTTGGGATTCCCACTTACAAGATTATATTTTTGTGCACCTGATGTTTTTTTAAACAAAATCTGTACAGACTTGGGGAAGACACTTTATTCTCTGATGTTCCTAACCTCAGAGCTAAATACTGCAAATTTATTTTCTGGAGGAGTGAGTGGCAGTAAATGTTGCCCGTGTTTATTCATAATGTCCTGAATACTTAATCCCACAAGGTATGTATGCTCCGTGTCAGGAAGAGTAGTGCTTTCTCCTTCTCTGACTTCATAAATTTATTTCAAGAATTTTGTTATTTAAATCCAGTGGCAGGATTTCAAAACTTCTTTGCACCGGCGCCCCAGTTCTCAACTCCTGCTTGTACAGCAAAATAGTAACAACATACCAGAGCCTTGAAATTCAAACCTGCTACATTTACCTCTCGTAGCCCTGAGTGCACCTGTGGGGTGTCTGTCAGTAGCCTTGCTCCATGTTTTATGCAGTGATATGCAGAGCAGGGGCACTTGACACTTAATTTCTTTGTTTTTACGGTTAAGTTTTATGTTCTGGGGGCGTGGAGCCATTCCAGAGAGGGTTTCTGGATCACTGATACCAGTTAGCCTCGCAGATTGTGCTGGGAATGAGCCACACTTAGTGGTTAATTTTGTCTTTATAGTTTCCTGAGACTTCACTGTTTTGCATTTGTTTTGCACTTGATAGTCTTTCCTACTAATTGACTTGTTTCACAAGCTCTTGTTCCTCTCATGAATCTCTGTGCTGCATTAATCAGTTTTTTCCTTCCTGTTTTGCATCCCCCAACAGCAATTGTTGCTGCCTTTACTTCATCTCTCTTTGTTCCCTGTCTCCCTCAATATCCTCTCTCCTCCATCTCTTTCTTGGGTCAATATTTTTTATTTAGTTTGTTGCTTCCTCCTCTGGCCACTTTGTCTCTTAATAAAGAAGAGGCTTGATAGGGAATTTTGTGTTGCTTGACTGCACCATCTGGGTGGCTGATAACTCATTCCTTGTAAATAAGTCACCATCATGTACTGCTGTACATCTTCAGCTTATAGATTAATAAGATCTGGGCACGATTTGAAGAGAAAAATTAGCAAAATTGAGAAGATAAATCCAAGGAAAACTCATTATTCAAGCTACATGTAATGCTGAAAGCTGTCCCTTTCAGACTTTTACAGAAATAGCAGTAAAATATTTCTTCAGACCACTGTCAGGGATGGCCAGAGCCTTGGAGCCGGTTGCACTGTTACAGCAGGACCAGCAGAGGGAACACGGGTGTTGCTTCCAGCATCCATGAAAATAATGCCAAAAAAATCCTGGAAGTGGTAATGAAATGCATGTATTTTAAATACTGATGTGTCAGGGACTGCTCTTCTACTGTTATCCCTTGTATAATACTTTTGATCCTTTTCCTTCTCTACTTCTTTTACATTTTCCTATTCTTGCTTTTGTTTCATTTCTACTGTTCACTGCTGGATGTGCTGGAATATTTTATTAGGAGGAGCCAGTATAATGTGCTTTTTCAAGTAGGCAACTTTTGAGCCATAACTTTTTCTGTCTAATGTATAGCATTCTTACAGTGTCACATATCCATTTTTTAATTACTTTATTATTCATCAGTGAACTGACATATGGTAAATATCATAAGGGACACAAAAAAGGGAAGAATAATTTAAACATTGGCAATATTGGTGAAATATTCTGTGGCACTGATATGCGGGGAAAGAGGTGAAGGAGTGCAAGACAGCAAAATGACCACTGAGATTCTGATAGCAGAAGCAAAAGACTGAAAAAAACCACAACTTTTTTTTTTCTTTTCTTTTTTCAGCTGTGGGAATTTAGAGTAAATTAAAGAATCAGGTTTGCTGGGCCTGTGTGGGTGGACGTTTTGAGAAGCAGTGCAGAGTTCCCGTGCCTGTGCCAATTCCGGCTGGACCATCTGATCCAGCGTGTCACATTCTTTACATGAACACGATATGCCAAATGAAATAATGGCCACAAATTGAGCTTGCATCCCGAGTTTATTCATCACTTAATAAATTATTTCTTCAGCAAGCTTTCAATTACCAGGAAAATGGAAGAAGCAGCTGTCCCAGGCATCAAATATCCCAGCGTCGAGCGTTTCATTTGTCTCGCTGTTCCGGAGCTGCACGGAGGCGTAGGGAGAGTTTCAGGTTTTATGCTGGGAAAAGCTGAGTGGAAATCGAGTCATTTAACTTGTCATTAAACATGATGGAACAGACTGATGTGACCTGTGAGACAATTTAAATTATTGGCTTCTAATCCAAAGGTAGAAATGACCTGTCAGACAGATTTGACTGTGATGGATTATTAATCGTGTCAAAGCTGTGGAAACAACTCTATTCTCTTTATGGTTCCTTGTTTTTGCTTTTTTGTTTTTTTTTTTTGACAAATGTTGCCCAAATCTGACTAAAAAGATTTTAAAGGTTTTAGAAAAGGATGGCTACAGCCATTTTTCTTTTTTAGCCACTGCCCCACACCAGGAGCTGGAATGTGGTGCAAAGGCCTGTCCCACCACAGTAAGATTAATTTCTATTTGCCTGGCACTGCCAGAGGTGCTAGATAATCAAACTTGTTGGCTCCACTCCAAACACCACTCTTATGTAAAGTGTAGTGCAGAGGTTACAGTTACTGCCCAGCTCATTCAGGAGGTGAGTTTGATCCCATTGTTGGGTAAATCCAGATAATCCTGATTTCTCAGGAGCGGGGCCCTTGCTGTGCTGTCCCAAATTCCTGACTAGGGGGTGCATTGCTTCCATCTTCCTGTCCAGAGCTGCTCACTCCTCATCTGTTGGGAAATGATTTCTGTGCAGTGTTTGTAGAGAGCTTTGATATCCTCTGTAGATGAAAGGTGTTATATAAATGCAAATTTTGTTCCTTTAATTTCAATTTCATTTAATAAATAAATAAATGGTTCAGGTTTTAGTGGGAAGGGCACTCTGAAACCGAATGCTGCATCTATATGCTGGATATACCTGTGGAGAGAGGTTAAGGCCACTGATTGTCTTTCAGAGCCCAACAGAATTAATTTTCACTTGTACAAAAACAGATTTTGCAGGCTGAATAATAATGAAATAAGTGCAGAATCCACTGGTTCTTTTTAAATTGGGTTTCTCATCCCTGTGAGTAAGGAAACAGAAAGGATGCATTGCTCAATTAGCATTTTAAATTAATTTTTCAAGGCTATTTACTGAGGAAACTGAAATTTTAATTAAAGTAGCAAATAAAGTAATGCACTCAAAAGGTTTATGCAATTTTTTTTTTCTGTCATGCTCAAAGAAAAATGATCCACTGCATACAGAAATACTTTAAAATAAGAAAAATTGCATTTCAAGTGAAGAATAAGAAGTTTCTGCAAAATACTGTGGTTCTTTCAATAAGTAAATGGCAGTGGGTGATGAGGGTGGTATATATTTAATGCAAATGTGTCCTAAAATGCTAAATATAGTAGATTTATTTGAAAAAGATGTAGCCTAGTAATAGAAGCTATTCCTGTGACTGCATTCCATATGGTAGTGAAATGGCATCTTCATGGAGCTGCAGATAAAATGGGGTTTTTTTGGACTGATAAATGGGGCCGTGTCAAAGAGAATAAGCATGAAAAAGGAGAGCAACTTCTTTACACAAAACTAATTGGGTTTTTTAGAAACCACTTTACCACTATTAGAAACTTGCTCTCAGTAATTGGCAGTGCTGCTTCTGAGCTCTTCAGACTGCTTTAAAAAGGTGATCTTTTGGATAATAGAAAACAAGCTACAGTTTCCCAATTTATGGTGAAATCTTGTGTGGATGGGAAGAGAACCTGGAATACTTAATATTGTTGAAATAATCGCCTTAGTTCTTGATAGTGGGGATATATATGCTCAACAAATGATTAATTGAATTGCGAGCTTTTATTTTAATTACAGGCTATTAGTACCAGAAAGGAATTAATGCTGTAGAAATTAATACTTATAACTGGATATATCAAAATGAATAATACAGTTATTGCACTTAAATATCTTGCTTTGAGTGCTCACTTTACATTTATAACTTGGCTGTGGTTGATCAGAATTGGGGGTTCTGAGTGCAGCCCGTGCCTGTCATTTGGGTTTGGTTTCTAAAAACCTCTCTTGCTTTGTTCACTTTAAAGTCTTTGAGCTGATCCAAATATTCTCAGTTTTGCAAGCAGTATATAGAGCAGCCAGAAGGCTGTTCTTGAGTGGTTTTTGGTTAAGATGAGTGTTTAAAAGCACAGGAATGAGGTGTTCTCAGATTGCTCAAAACTTGTCTCTCTGTGTCGCAGTTTCCGTTCGGCCGCCGCTTGCCGTGTGACATCTACTGGCACGGGGTGTCATTCCATGACAACAACATCTTCTCAGGGCAAGTCAACAAGTTTCCAGGTACTTCACTTCTCTTTCTGGTTTAAACAAATGCTGTAAAACCAGGGGTATTTGAGCTTGTTCTGTGTTTTTACTGTTTTTTAATGTGAATTACCTGCCTGATCAGCTGATAGTATTTTTGGCATATTACTGGGTTTGCAGAGAGGGTGAGGATATCAGAATGGGTGTCTTGAACAATTGCTGGACTGAGATTTGTTTTGGAGAGAAAGTGGTTTTATTGAGAAGAATACTTCATACAGGTGAAGTTAGGAAAAAGGAGAGTGTTAGGCTGTAATTTAAGTGAAATATGCAATTACTGTCTGTTATCTGGCACTGATAACAGTGCTGTATCTTTGGATTTGGTTTTGATTCAAAGTGGAAAGAATCTGTTTTGTTTCATACTCTGGCTTATCTCCGGGAGAAGCTTGAAGCAGAGTTCCTTAAATGGATTTTTTAATATTGAAGAGTTCATGTCAGTCCTCATCTTATGATGACTCTTCTATTTTTTTAAGCTCCTTTTTTTCTCGTTTAATCCCTGTTGAGATCTCTCTAAATAAGAGCTAAGAGCTTAGGTATTGACTTATCTAAGCCCTTTACTTCAGATTTATGGCTGCTGTTAGTGTGCTGTGAGCATAAGAACCTCAGATATCGAACTCCAAGCTTTATTTACCCTGACTTTTTCCTGCCTGAGGGAAGTTCCCACTCAGGTGTAGGATGATGTTGTTTTCTGATGGTTTAAATTAGTGTTAGATGAATGTTACCTGCCTGTATTTTGGCTTCTACCTGGTGAACAAGTGGCTGCACAGGAATCAAGCCATAGCCCTTCAGAACTAGACCTGATTTCCAGGAATGTTGTGCTAATTTGATGCAGGGTTTTACCAGAAACTTTTCCATAAAAATAGCTTTTTAATCATGTTCTCAATGGACATAAGACTTCAGCAAATGTTTGTTTGGCTGTTGACAAACTAACCCGATTTTTGTGATGCAGATACTTCAGACTGCAAAGTAAACACAAAGTGATTGATTACATTTGAGTTACATTTGTATTTATTCCTGGAATAATAGATTAGAAAAATAATTTTGTATTATGGCAAAGGCAGTACTTAATATTTGACTAAAGCTGTCTTTTATTCTGAGCTGTATTTTTGAGAATTAATTTTTTTCTAATATTGTACAGAAATACATACAATAGTAAATATGGCAGGGGAATGCCACAATTATTGTGTCAGATTTTAAATCTCAAAAGATGTTCAGCTTTATTAACAGCAATGACCAGAGTGCCTTCCCAGCAGGATGAGTAATGATCCTCTGAAATTATACATTTTCTGTTAGGATGAGACTTCAGTGTGGGGTTTTTGTTACTTTGTTCTCCTCCCAGGCATGATGGAGACAGTTCGGAAAATTACTCTGAGTCGGGCCATGAGAAGAATGCAAGATCTGTTTCCTCTGGAATACAGCTTCTACCCTAGATCCTGGATTCTGCCAGAAGAACTGTCCCTCTTTGTGGCTGAGGTACATCACTTTTGCTCTCAGAATACTGTAACTTGTTGGGTATTGTATCCATGCCATTCTTTAATCTTCTATAGCTACCAGATTATTTAAAACCATACCTGGGAACTGTGGATGACATCTTTTCCAGTTTGCCTGGGATCAGTCATGGTCTGGATGTCTGTTTGTTAGCTTTGTTTGTTATGTTGTGGAATAAACTTCAAAACAAATCTACTTCTCTGCTGTGCCAGGAGAAGTGTCTGAAAATTGAGCCTGTTGGAAGCATCAGCCCTTTCCTGCATGTTCTGCTGGCCTGAGGAGGTTCCAGTGCAGTGTGGGCAGTGTGGTGCTTCACCAGGTTCATTGTCACTGAAATCCTTTTTGTCCACTTGGCCTGTTGTACCCAAACCTTTCTGAAGAGCATTTTGTTCTGTGCATTGTTAAATACACTCACATCATCTCATGTCAAACTGCTGTTTTGTTTAAATATTCAGAATGTAATAAAATGCCATTCTTTTCCAGCTTTTTTTTTTTTTTTAAAAAAGGGTGATGCTGTGTGTTGGTGTTTGGTTCTGTTGCTATAAATATTTTAAAATATTATATGTGTTTGTTTAACCCTGTCTGACTCACCCAGGGTGTTTTTGCATCCTAGAGTATGCTCACCTTGGAAACACGAGAGAAGAAAGGTGTGGGCTTTAACAGACTCTTGTACTGGGTGCAACTTTTAAACTAATTACCATATCCATAATCCATTTGAATTCATTAACATATTTTAATAACTATTCTTCAAATGGGCTGGGTAACTGCCACTGCAAGAGCAGTCTGCAGAAGGAGTGTGAATAAAAAGGAGTGTGAATAACCCGAGCAGTTCAGCGAGGACAGGCAGATGAGATGCACGCCTGGGAGGGGCCGTGGGTGGTGGGGATGGTGTGGGAGCACAGGCAGGGCTGGCCGAGCTGCAGGTGACACGCTCAGCCCCGGGAGCTGGCACCAGGTGGCACTGCGAGTTAACACTGCTCTGCTCCCTCCCTGCACTGCAAACGCTGCTGCTTGTGTTCCAAGAGGAACAGATGTCCACTAACACACTCCTAGGAGTTTCCTTTGCATATGTTCTTCCATCTGTGTTGGAGAAAAGCATAGTTCTTGTTATCAAACATTATATTTTATGTTGTAAGAGTTTGTGTTCTACTTAACACAAGTTGGGAGTGTAACCCCTCCAGAACAGGAAAAAAATACAACCCAAAACATTCCAAACCCCCTGTGAACCATAAAAGGTTCAGGGCACTTTTCACTTGCAGTTTGGTGAGTTCTCAGCAGGAGTTCTCCAGGCTTTTCTGTTGTTTATTTGTTCATATGTGATTTTGTTTGCTTTGCAACCCTAATGCTGCCAAAACCTTCAGCTCCCAGAGTGTGCATTTCAGCTTGTTCACAACAGACAAGTGGGGAGAGCTTTGGTGGTGCCTGCATGTCAGACATGTCCCTGGAGGAGCTGGAACTCTCTGGAATATGTTAGTTATCAAAAGTCAGGTTGTGTCAGTGCAGGTGTAGGTTAGACACAAGAAGATGGTGTGGTGCTGTTTGTAGTGCAGGATTTCTGTTGCAAAGGGCTGGATGAGAAATGGACACCTGTGAGATTTTGCCTGTAACAGAAATTATCATTGAAAGAAGAAACTCCTTGAGAATTTCAATCTTGCTGCCTCCCACTGATGCACTACAACATTTCAAAACAGTTTCTCTCTCAAATATCCTTATTGTGCCTCACTTCTGTAGTCATGATGGTGAACTTTTTCATACATATCTATCAATAATGAAATCAAATGCTGTCAGCTCTCCCCTATACCTAGATTCAGGTAGAAAACACTACAGGCAATCTAATAATAATCTTCAGTGCTATGAAAGCCAATAATTGAGAAAACTGCACTGGAGTTGTGGTGGATGAGCTTCATACTGGAAATACCAACAAAAAAGTATTTCCCTTAGTGTCATTTATTTTGAAATGAGATGGTGATAGGTGTTTTCATCAAGGGCTTAAAAGTTCATTTTACTAAGTAAATATATATCTAGCTATTTTCAATATTCACCAATTTATTTTCTAAAACATTTTGTACTAACATGTCACTGTAACGGAAGGTGAATTACAGATAAGCAAATCTCTCAGGTGCTGCAGTCATTGCTCGTTCACTAGCAGGGAAGAATTTGCTGGAATGTGTGTGCTAAGGACTTATTTCTAACATGAAATTCCAATTTCTGAAGAATAACTAGCTTGGGATTCAAACCAGGACCGTGATTGTTCTCATAGTTCCTTCTTTGTGTTGTCTGTGAGGATGATGAATAGGCCAGTATGATTAATTTTTAATAAGAATCTAATTTGGATGGTCAAATTTCCAGCACAGCATATTTTTGGTGGTTTAATCAGGTTTTCAGCTTTTGGATACCTCTTAGGCATAGGCATGAATATTCCAGTCTTTGTGCTGTCAGATCTTATAGCCCATTATATGCATTTTTTTCAGAATACCGTATTTATTCAGCCTGTATTTCCTCATGAAAGCCAAACTTGCAGATGTTCACCAAACTTCTCTTGCTGTTAACTGTAAATGGTTAACATGTTTTTTAAAGATAATTTCCTTCTGTCAAGCAAAGGACACAGAAATATCTCATTTCATATAAACTCATTTTCCTACATGACTGAATTTTCTAAGTCCAGACAAGCTCCCTCATAATGAGAATTTGAAAGAATATAGTTGAGGGGATTGTAGAGAATTTGAAGACGACTGTTGGGAATTTCCTTGAAGATCAAGAAACCATCTGTTTTCTTCAAGACAGTAAATCTGCTGAAAAACAGACTGAGACTGACTCTGGATTACTGTTCCCCCTTTCCCCACCAGCCTATCTTTATCTGCCATGTGTAGGTTTTGATGGACTAGAAAGCCTGAATAATATCCAGGCCTTTTAGTCCATTGAATAAATGGAATAGAAAATGATGGAGAAAATAATTTGCTTTTTATTTTAAGAGAAGAGAGATCTCAGAGAACAATGATTATTAGAGTGCAATATTTTGAAAGGCAGGTTCTTTTGCATCTTCAGCAATAGTCCCTGGAAAGCATAATTTCTTTTGGAAAGCATCATCTCTTTTGGAAAGCATAATTTCTTTTGAAAAGGTGCTGCTGGAGCAGAGCAGATTTGGCCTGAGGGGTGAACAGCAGATGTGGGACTGGGGGGCAGATCTTTCCACCTGGTGTCACAGAGGTTCTTCACGATTTTCTGCCCTGGGAGGGCACTTTGTGTGTTGAGCAGGAGTCACAGCAGGGTGTGTTTGCTCATGGAGGGTTCAGATTAACCAGGTGTCTCTGTGGTGCTGACTTTAACACCAGTGAACCACAGAACTCCTCTGCTCTGCAGGGTAATGTCACATCAGGGAAAGATTATTCTGTAGTGGTAAAAAGACTAGGACATAAATCCTGCTTTCCTTCTTTGCTCATCTAGGCCTGCTGATCTACTTGGACCTATTTATCCACATGCCATTTATGTAAGCCTGACCTCCACTGAGGCGTTTATCCCTCACAGTGACCTATTTTGAAGAAGGATCTTTCACTGAGTCAGTGTGACACCTGTCCGTGAGAAAAATCCTACTCTGGGTAATGGATCTTGAATTTCTGCTGCAGCTGTAGGAAGGCTTTTAGCAGTGTGACTTTGAGTGAAATAAATAACTGGGTAGGGTGGAGCCAGCAGTCCTTGAGGCCTTGGGTATGTCACTGCTGATAGAGCTGGGCCTCTCCTGGGGGTCAGCAGCCTGATGTTACAGCAGAGGTTGCTGCTCTCACAATCATCTGACCATGCTCAGACTTTTCCTGTGGGCTGATTTTTTTCCTCTTTCATTCTCTAGGGCTGATGGTGGCAACTGATTTGTTCTTTCTTCGTTAGCTTTTATCCTCAGGCTTCTAAAAGTCAATCTCCAGTTGTTGCTGGTGAGCCACAGGGTAAAACCAGATCTGCCTGGCTGCAGGGAGAGGGAGAGCAGCTGCAGGGCTGGGGCTCTAAAATGTGGGAGTGCAAGAAAGGAGCAGTCAGTGCTGGGACATCCCTCTGTTTTGGAAGGAGGTTTTGAGTGCTTTATTGTCCTGAATCCCATGAGGACCTGATAAACCTGCTAGCCTGCATCCTGCATTTCTTCAGCTGCTTTCTTTGTTAGGACTTCCCTTTCTTTCTCAATTTCATTTCTGATTGAGGCATCCCCATGTCTGCAGTTCTGACTTTTGCTGTACAAGTAATCAATAAACTAGAATTTATTTAGGGAGTGGGAAATATTCATGTAAGATGAAAGCTCTGATATTCAGCAGATGTGTCAATGACACCTGTACATGGTTCAGCATTCCCCAGTTTTATTAACACTGGGTATCGGATAGTGAAATATTTTCAGTGGTGGAAAAAGGTATTGTTAGTGACAAATCTTTGCTTCAGTTTTCTTTCTTCTGGTAGCATTTGCAGTCCTACCTCAATAAATAAGGCACCTTTCCTTAAGTTAATGATTGTCTTTGTCAGTAGTTGTTCAAAATGCAGCATGAAAGTTTAACTTTGCAGTTTCATATACATTAGTGACTACTAAAATGGATCTCATGAGATACACCCCATTTCCTTCTGTAAATTGGAACAGAACATTAAAAAAGTTCCTGAAGTGATTTATACAATGGCTTGTTAAATAAAATGACCTTTTAGCTGTCCTAGTAATTCCCTACTCATGCTTGTTTCTCCTTGTGCTTGTCAGCACTGTTTATCTTCTGCCTTTTCTGCATGGTGTTTACTACTCTGGTGATGTGATCATGCTATTTTTATTTATTTTTATTTATTGGCTTTCACAATACCAACCCTTCTTCCCTTGCCCAGTTAGTTTTCCCTCTCACTGTAATGCTTTTCCTTCTAGGTTCGTATGATAAAGGACAGCAATCCATCCTGGAAGCCCACGTTTATTGTAAAGCCTGATGGAGGCTGCCAGGGGGATGGAATCTACCTCATCAAAGACCCAAGTGACATCAGACTGACAGGGAGCAGCCAGAGCCGACCAGCTGTGGTCCAGGAATACATCTGCAAACCACTGCTCATGGACAAACTGAAATTTGATATTCGTCTCTATGTCCTGCTGAAAAGCTTAGAACCCTTAGAGATTTATATAGCCAAAGATGGACTTTCTAGGTTTTGTACAGAGCCCTATCAAGAACCCACTCTCAAAAATTTGCACCAGGTTTTTATGCACTTAACCAACTATTCACTAAATATCCATAGTGAGAATTTCATCCATTCTGACAGTGTAAACACTGGCAGCAAGAGGACTTTTTCAAGCATTCTGTGCAGACTGTCTTCCAGAGGAGCTGATGTCAAAAAGCTCTGGTCAGATATAATTTCATTGGTGATTAAAACAATTATTGCACTGACACCAGAACTGAAAGTTTACTATCAGTCTGACATACCAGCAGGAAAGCCTGGGCCAACTTGCTTCCAGGTAAGTTGGAATTTCTGCAGGAATTACTTCTGTGCATAGATTAATTTTCTGGGTGTTTAATGTCTTTTCTAAAGGTTTTCTCTAGTTTTGGTGCTGCTCACTGGTGGGAGCTCAGAGATCCTCTCCTGACCTATGTTACTGCCAGCCCTAAGCAGATACAGAGAATTTTCAGTGGGTGTAGTTTGTTAGGGACAGTATTCACTCCATATTCCATCTTCTACACGCTGGAAGTGAAGTGATCCTGGCAATTTGAAGACCCCCTCGTTGTGGATGCCAGGATTTTCTGTTGGCAGATGCAGTGTTTAGGGATGGGGGTGGTGTGAAAGGAGCCATTAGTATGGGAGACAAGAGGCTTCTGGAGTTATTCAGCACTGTGCAAAGTTTCTCATTTCTGCCCCTCAAATGTTTCTTCCTCCTCAGTGTTGCCATATGGACAAACACTGCATTCTATAGAACACTCTGAGTAGAACTGAAGTAACATATTGCTTGTTATGCACAGATTTTAGGGTTTGACATTCTCCTGTTGAAAAACTTGAAGCCTGTGTTATTGGAAGTAAATGCAAACCCCAGCATGAGAATAGAACACGAGCAAGAGGTAAGAGTTGTCAATGTGGTATTGGAATGAAATTGCTTAGGTTGGCTTTTCTGGGCTTTTTTCTTTGTTTGAAGGATGAAAGCTGTCTGCTAATATGAAACCTCCAAGGTTATCTATAATTTTCTGCTTTGAAATCATTGCTAATCTTATACATAGGAAATATGACTTATTGGAATTGTGAAAGCTCTCCATCATCTCTGTCATAAATGCATTTATTCATAATCTCCTGCAGTTGTTAATTGTGTTTAGGGGATTGTTAATAATCTTTTTCGTGTTTATGTACATAATATAAATGATAACATCGGCAACAATCTTTTTTTTAATATTTCAGTTTACTAGAGAAATTTGTTTTAACATCATATTGAAAATGCAAAGGTATTTGTGCATCCTTGAAGAAATATTTTGTAATCCATCATCGTGTATTTAAAATATAGATGAAGTGCATGAAGTTTGAGCAAATGTGGAAGAAATCACCGTTAGTTCTGTAGTGAATAATTGTATCCCTCTGTGATGTAAAGCTTTCTCCTGGAGTATTTGAAAATGTCCCAAGCCCTGTTGATGAAGAAGTGAAAGTTGCTGTCATCAGAGACACTCTGAGGCTGGTGGACCCTCAGAAAAAGAAGAGGAAAGACACTCAGTAAGTGTGTTGATTTACCTTAGTTTTGCATTAATGCCCTGCAATAAATAGAAAAATGAGAATTTTTTTTCCTGAGAAGGCCCACAAGCTGATAGTAAATCAGTATATGCCAGTTTCCTTGGAATATCTTACTCTTAACTGGTGCAAACAGTTTAGTAACTCAGATTTATTTATTTGTGCTTCTATTGAGGCTTCTTTTTTTATTCAAAACATTCATGAGACATAAATTTGTGTATTAATTTGCTTGAAAGTCACAAATTACTCTGAATGAATTCCCCCATTGGAGCTGAAAAGTATGAATATTGTATTTAAAAATTGATTCCTTAATCTGTGACAATAAACAGAGTTAAATCTATGATCTAGAAATGAGAAGAGCTGCCTGCAGCAGCTTGCACAGGATTGCCTGTGGTGGGATCAGGCTGAGAGAAATCATATCTTCTTTTTTGATGAAACACTTCATTTTAAGCAGTTCCTTGAAGACATGAAAGGGTGATTTTTTTTCCTTTTTTATTTTTTCCCTAGAAATTCTTGCTCATAGGTCTGCCTCCATGCTAAAGTATCCGTTTTGCTCTTCTCTTGCCACTTAGTGGTAACCTGAAATGCTGTTCACATTCTATAATGATTTCAAGTGCAAATTTGCTGTCCTTTTGTAGACAGAGGCCCATGAACAAGACGTGACTGATAATACTAACAAGTTCTGATTATTGCAATATTATTATGAGATCAAACTCTTCCTTCAAAGGCAGTGCCACACAGAGAGGTTGCTGTGGTCAGTGCACAGAACGTTTTGCAAAGCAATTTATACTCTGTGTTGCCTGTACTTAACCTCTACCCTTACAGATGACTTCAGTGCATGGAGCTGAAAAAGATAATTTTTTAACCTGTAATTATGTAACTAGTCATGGTGGTTTTTTCTGCTGAAGTTATGTCAGGCATTCATTAACTTCATATTAGATATGGAAAAAAGGCAAATGATAATTACAAATAAATTGCTACAGGACGCCAGTGTATGGGGAAGGCTCATTCAGCTGAGGATTCTTCTCTGATACACTTTGAGTGCTAAATAATTTCTAACAGGATTAGTTGGTGATGAGATAAACCACTGGCTCTTCTCAGCAAGAATTCATCAGTGGTGCAGCTTTTCTTCCAGGGTAATGTGGTTAACAGAGCATCTTGGAGATGAATATTTGTGTCTGCACCACAAGTCAGCCTGCACAGGGACCTGCTGGTGGAGATGTGCAGGAACTCGTGTGACTTCTGCCCATCCTTCCCCTGACACTGTCCCCCTTTGCTTCCAAGTGCTTTTTATTGAGCTGGGGACAGTGTGTGCAACTTCTTGAGCAAAACTTGGCCTGTTGATAGAAAAAAAAAAAAAATCTGAAAGGATGGCTGTTCTGACAGCTAACCAGCAGCAAGCCTCATAGACTCAACTTTTGATGCTAATTAAGCAACGGGCATTAATCTCAGTAAGGTTTTAGCAATATATATATTATATAGAGTTTGAACACACAGGGGAAATACTGAGAAGTCTGAGCTGCATCTCAGGTAAATATTCTGCTGTGGAAAATTTGATTTCCTTCTAATTATCTCCCAGATTAAAATAAATGAGGCATCTAAATGAAAGTGAGTTTTAGAAGTCATCTTGAAGTACTTCATTATCAGGAAGGATTAATAGCTCAGAATTTTTTTAAGTTTAATTTTCCCTCATCTTCACGGTGTTTTGATATTTTTTGCCTCCTTCCTATCATGCCATGTATAATACTGAAAAAAAGTTAAACTGAGTAAGATCAGTTTATCATTCCATACATATCTCTTAATTTTTCCAACACAACTCCAGTCTTTACATGCAGGGATTGCTAGTAATTATCTCGGCACTGCCAGCAATTAGTGACTGAAAATCTGCAGTGATACATGTTCAAATCAATGTATTTAAATATACATGGTGGCTCTTCTTCCACAGCAGAAATGATCTTTTCCTAGTTTTAGGTCACTTCATGTGGAACTCAAGTTTTGTTCGTCATTAAGAAATTAAAACATTTAATAAAATATCATGGAAAGTACTGATCCTTGCTGTGTTTGTGTGGCAGTGCTGTTCTCATGGATTTTAAGGCTTGAGTAGATGATGGCAAACATCCAGGCCATTGACATTCTGGAGTTAACCCAGTGATTTGTGTGACTGAAACTTGTCTGAAGCTTGTGTAGTAATTATTAGACTTGCTCTGGATTCACTCCTTACAACAGAGGTGCTGTTCACAGCCTGCTGAAGGTGAGAGAAGGCTTCAGCTAAAGGAAATTTGCACAATTAAATGAATGGTCTAATGACACCGAACAACATGTAAAGTAAATCAACATTACTTATGTAAACAGCAGTTTAATTAAGATAATCACTGATGCAAATCATTGTGTATGTTGTGCCTCCAACAGAAAATCCATTTCAAAAGGCTTTGCAAACTTCTATTTTTCTGTGCCTAATTTGGAATCTTGATAGTAGTAAAAAGGTTTTAGTTTCACTGTTTGTTTAATTATTAGCAATTTATTCTGCCTCAAATTGCATTAGATTGGAGGAGCAGAAAGGAGTCACAGTCTCATGTAAATGCTGTGTATTCTGCACTGGATGTCAGATGTTTGGAGGTATAAAGACAAGCTGGGAGGATCATTTGGAGCAGGACTGCTCAGTATGGTATAGGAAGAACATTTATATGATCTCAAAAATGCTAATGACCCGCTTTCCTGTCCTGTCAAAAATATTTATGCCCTAGTTATTAATGCTAATTAATCCAGCAATAAGGACTTCCTTGTATTTTGGTTGCTGTTGTTTACTCTGTGTCCTAGTGTGATCTCTTGCATTTCTATGCCTAGTTTCTTACATATTTCAAGACAGAAAAGAACCATTTTATTCTTTTGATAAAGAAATCATAGCATTATGGCATGCGTGTCATTAGAAATATGAGTTGCTCATGGAATAAAATCTGCTTTTTCCTTGCTAGAGATGATGAAGGTGCAGCCCCCTAAGTAATACAATGACTTTTATTCAGCTCTGAAATAGCCACTGACAGAAGAAAGAATTGAAACACTTTGGAAATGAAATGTAATTTAATCTATGGCTGTTATAAAAACAATCAATTCCTTGTGCCCTCCAAACTGAATGCTTTTGCTTTATTGCCTATCACGCCCTTGCTGTTTCATTGCTAGTTTATCTTTTCTTGGGTGCTATTCTCTGTACATGCCACTGCAGTGCTTTTTTTCCATTTGAAACCGGCCTTGAAATTTATTTGTGATGTTCTGATTATTTTTTCCCCTTTTTTTTTTTTTTTTTAAATACATCAGGTACAATTCTCTTCTCTGTGTCCTGTGGCTCTAGCAAATGTCAAATATGATTAACTAATTTCCTGAGCAGGAAGAACCCCAATGTGGTTGCTCTCAAATTTTTGCAAGATCAGCATGCAGACATTGGCTAATGTCACTCTGTTCTGAGAGCACCCTGTAAATATTAATGTCTGTCAGACTGACTTTTTTATTTTATTCTTTTGGTGTTAGGAAGAAATTCAGTCAAAACAAGGTTTTGTATAACTTGCTACACAAAAGCTCCTCCTCTTTTCTTGCACAGAACAAGATGGTTCATTTTGTCCACTGTGTTGATTACACAACTTTCACTCTTGAAATGATTCCTTTCCATGATAGAGGAAAAAGTGAATAGTTTCTAGGAGGAGAATGGGATCTGTATTTAATAAAAACATGAATAAATTTCTGGTCATTCTTTTGTATGTTCCAAAGAAATTTTCCAAATCCTAATGCTGTTTTTAATTTCTTGATGTTGAGGAGCAATTTTGTACTTTCTTAAGGAAAGTCAGGAACTCACCTGTTCAGCTGTATTGCCTTTATTTTCCAGATATTTTTCTTCAGTTTCATAACCTCCCCTGATGTTAGAGTCATGTTTAATGGAAAAATGAAAATACAGTGTGCAGAGATGTCTCGAGAGTATGATTAGCCTAGATTTTGTTGATGATAAAGTCATTCTTGCCATTTATTACTGTGTTTATCTCACTGTCAGCATTGTAAGGTTATGATTGTGTGACAGGGGTGGTTGAAGAGGGTCAGAAACTCAGTGCACAGACATGTGGGGAGGCTGGATGGGGAAATGCTGGTGCTGCAGCTATCACTGATCAGAAAATAATGACTGTTCTTCAGGCTGGCTGTAATGTATCTTAGTTTCCACTGCTGTGAGCAACTGTATTATGTTCCTCAGGGATTCATTACTCAGGGTTGTCAGTGCCTTTTGCATTATATGGAGTCAGTTTAGTGCCTATCAAAATAAGCATGTAATAAACCCAGCTATGAAAGTATCAATGTTTGGGTTTCTATGTGCTAATTGACTTTTTGGGCTGACTGCTGGAGCTTTTGGTTGATTCCCTTTCCCTGTGAGTCTGCTCAGGTTTACAGCTATTCAAATGCCTCTCCTCTTCACTGCAAGCCTTATTTCTGCCTGAGACTGTATAAACTCATATGTGTGGCTTTCTTGAGATTGATCTTTCTCCTCTGGTTCATTTTGGAGGCTGACACAATCCTTTTCTCCATCAGTCAGAATGACCCAGCGTTCATATCCAGGCTCATTCTGCCAAAGCCCTTTGGAAGCACAGTGAATTAGCCCCTTTCTCTTTCCTGGAGGGCTTTCTGCTTTAGTCCTTCATCAGGCAATCTGCCAGCTCCACTATCAATTCGTGTCTGTTACATTAGCCCAGGCAGCTTTTGATGAGTTAGACATGTGAGGGAGACTTTTAAATGTGATGTTTGTCAATGTTCCTTCAGTTCAGATTATTGAAATGTTAACTTGGTTTTTCTGTAGTTGAGACTATTTATTTCTGCTGCTATTTCTCATCCTGCTCAAGAAGAACTTGCCTCAATGACTCTCTTCAGTTTTGTGAAGCAGATGTTGTGGTATCTTGATCTTTGCTCCCTGTTCTTGCTTTTCCAGTTATTTATCTGCTACATCCTTAAGAATA